ACTGAATCACTCACGTAGAGACACTCACAGCCCACCTCATACAATGAATGCTTCACGATTAAACCACCTAGTATATAGAACACAACACAACGAAGATCAACCATCTGAAATAAAAATATCTTCGACCATTTTTAAATCGGACGAGCACTGCATGCTTTGCGTCGCTCGAAGATGGAAGAACTTCTTCAAGAGGTAAGCCTTCACAAGAAAACAACTATTCTTTCCCCACGAGCGCCTGCACCACCATATTCGACCGAAGAGTGCTACACAAATACCAAAGATCATTCGACGTATTTAATTATATAATTGTTAGACGTTTTGAGACATATATATATATATATATATATATATATATATCGAAAAACTAGCCAAAACAAAATTCTGTGGTGAAATTGCATCCTCCACGAATTCAGAGTCATCACCTAAAACATCAGGATTGAACGAGAACACTCAACAAGAAATACAGCAAACAATCACACTACTGATTAAACAGAAGAGACATTACGCTTGAACGACCACCCGAGAATAGAAGGCACTAAAGCGACTGAAATATAGGAAATATATCGCTGAATCCCCAGCAAACAAACCACGCACTACTGTAGTCATGGGCAGGGAAGACTACATCAAGGAGGCAGAAGATTTAAACAAGGAAGAAAATTTGTATCACAACTACTTGAAACTAATCGTATCTAAACGTTCGACAACCAAATATCCTCGTCAAAGCGGAAGAAATAGTTAAGCAAGAAAAATGGCGACTGAAATCAAATAGACCTGTAGTTCCTCGGTGTACGACAGACCAAAACTACACAAAGAAGTTATCCCTCTACAACCAGTAGTCTCACTTCCGGAAATTGCAACTTACGACATATTCAGAGGATTTTTGAGGAAACTGAAATACCTTGTTAAAACATGCGAATATCCCATCAAATCACCTACAGTGTTCTTAGAAACGATGAAAGTCATTAATATACAAAGCGATGAAATGGGTGTCTTAGTCGGTAGAACAAACGTCGGAAAACTGAAAACTCATGTGTATTGGAAGTAAACCCAAATAGATCAAATCCTCAACTACAGTAACAACAATCCAACAACACACAAAGTTAGTTTTGGTACAGACTGTGTTCAAAGGTGTGATAACCCTCTACAATGCAACAACCTCAAGGAAGAATAAAGAAAATCAACTGGTCTAACCATACAGCACAGAGGATGCAACATCACCAAAATCATCTATCTAAGCTACCAATTATTTCCCACCATTTGAATATCTTCTGCCTTTTTCAGATGGTAAGCTCTACCGATGATAAAATTATAATTGACATAAGGCAACCAATAAAAAGGATAAACCAACAAATATGAAAGACAGAATTCTTACAGATATACAAAAATGAAGTTACTACAAATCCTGTCATCTGTTCTTACCATGGTAACCTCGCCTGGTTAACTAGTTCACTAGATGCTAGCCGGTCCTAAACCCGGATAAAGAAGGAAGTTTTGGCATAGGGCTAGCAACCTTAACACGGAAAACCAATCCAATCACTTAAGAAACTTCAAAGCACAAACAAAATATTTAAAAAAATATAAACAAACTTATTCCTCGCTGGAATCGGAGAGGCAAAATGACGCCGGTTGGTGAAAGCCTTCGGGAAGCCAATTGGTCGGTGTGTTCTCTCTCTCGATGAAAGCGACAGTAAACATGGGGACATGGAATGTCCGCACCATGTATGAAACTACCAAGGCTGTTCAGATTCTAAAAGAGATGAGAAGCTATGGCACAGGAACCCAAGGGAAAAATAAAATAACAATAATAAAATTCTTACCAGCATAAAAGGTGATTTAATCATTGAAAGATAAACTAAATGGCTAAATGTTTATCTGTCTAAAACATATTTCCCCATGAAGTCACGTTCACAAATATTTAATATGCATTCAGTAATACAAGAACACAAGAAAATTGATTAATACACGGTGTATAATTAAGTCAATCAATAAATGGCAATCCCACTGTAGTTTTCATGGTTTTGATGCGTGATGGAGGTCTCTCAGTCAGTAAGCCAAGAAATTGTGTTGTAATACATTTGATTGCTGATATCAGAAGTGAGTGAATACACAATTTTATTCTATTGGAGTTTTTCTTCACCTTCAGTCATAATGAGGTGTATTTGTAGACATAAAGAAACTTATGGACAGTTTGAGACGCAAACATGCATTATTCATAGTGCAACCAGATATGTTGCCCACAAACCATAAAAGAACAAATGATACCTCAAAATGTCTGCATTATACCACCAGCATTTTCTAAGCACGATTAAGAGCTAATAGTACTGACACCTGGAATAAATTTGCAGCGTTTCTTCAAGAATTAAAAGCACTAGACCCTGACCACTTCCATGTAGCACTTTAAAAGCTGTTTTCATGTCCACCATGTGGTCACTTCCTAGTATATGTTTAGCGACAGACGAAGATGGAAGTTTGCCACCTACACTCATCGGAATTGTTGACGTCATTTATTCTTTAAAAAGCTCTTGAATCGACCACCACCTGCAGCTTGTCGAGAAATACAAACGACAACCACAGAACTATCAGTGAACACAGGCCCTCCGACAAAAGCAAAAGTCCTGAATGCTATAAAACTGTTGAAATCCGGGAAAGCAGAAGGACCAGATGGAATCCCTCCAGAAGCACTGAAAACAGACGCAAAGACAACAGCGGACATGCTCACACCACTACTGCAGGTCTGGAAGGAAAGGAAGGTACCTGCTGGTGAATTGGAAGAAGGGCTACTTTATCAAACTCCCAAAGAAGGGCTACCTTAGTCTTTGCAAGAACAAAAACTGGTGAGGAATTATGCTACTGGCCACCCCAAGCAAAATATTGTGCCATATCATCCTGTAGAGACTAAAGGATGCGCTGGATTCAAAACTACGACCGGAACAGGCTGGCTGGATTCAGGAAGGACAAGTCATATGCGGACCAAATTGCAACGAAGCGCTACACATCATCATAGAACAGAGCATAGAATGGCAGTCAACTCTCTACCTCAACTTCATCCACTTTGAAAAGGCCTTAGACAGCGTCAACCGAGAAGTAATTTGGAAACTGCTCCAACACTACGGAATACCACAAACATTTATCAACCTCATTCAACAACTATATGAAGACGGGACATGCCAAGTAATTCACAATGGGAAGCTCAGTGATGTTCCTTTTGAAGTGAAGACAGAATTAAGACAAGGCTGTCTACTATATCACCCATGATCTTCCTGATTGTGGTCGACTGGATCATGCAACAAACCATGAACACTGGTCCGGGGGAAAGGTCCTGGAAGATTTGAATTTCACCGATCATGACTTGTGTCTAGTGTCACACAAACTGGAAGATCTACAGGCGAAAACTAACAAGTTGGCAGAAGAGGCAGCGAAGACGGGACTTCAGGTGAATATAGAGAAGACAGAGGTGATCAAGATACTCAACCAACGCCACCACTAACAGCAACAAGATCCAATCACCATGAACGGGAGAAAGTTGGAGGAAGTAGCCTCTTTCACCTATCTAGGCAGCATCGTTTCAACTGCAGGCGGCACAGACGAGCATGTCGAAACCAGGGTCGGAAAAACAAGACAAGCTTTCATTAATCTGAAATCAGCATGGAGGTCTACTGCACTCAGCATAAAGCGTGTACAACATCCGGATTTCAAGACCAATGTCAAGATCGAAATCGTTAACAGAAAATACATTGACTATTGATTTAAGTCGTGACTAAACGATGACCGTGAAGAGGAATATTCGGAGGAATGCTCAGATTAACAGATTTAAGACATTACAGTCTGATTATAAGAATTTTCGATGAGAGCTGTGAGTAGTAATGATACAGAGTGGCCAGAAATGGAATACTGGGGCGCGTCTCATCCAGTACAGGACTCGTCAGCCGGATGTACGTGCCTCCGAATGAGCGGTATTGTTTCCACTGGAACTCGAACCCTGGGTCGTTCGTTTAGTGTTATTCACTAGGTCATAGAGTCAAGATATCCACTTCTCATGAGACGGCCATAGTTTTTATCTAGTTGAGTGTATTATATCATCATCGATTGAACCGAATTTCATCCGTCTCTGTTGGCATCTTGGCTCCTGCATGGACGTTTCAGTATTGACTGTCGTTTCAATTCATGGTAATGATGAAATGTAGCTAGCAGTGGAATGCAGGACACTCGTTCTGCCTTATTTAGAACTCGTTACTCGGTAGCCTAGTGAGTAACACACTGGCGTCTGAAACCATTGATACCGAGTCCGAATCCCGATAGGAAAAACGCTACTCATTAGGAGGCAGGTACATCCAGCCCGTGAGTCCCAAAAATGACAAAACGCGCGTCCAGGATCCCACTGACAGTCACTATCCATCACCACTGTAATAGGTAGACACGACAGGCAATATCAAAGCGTCCAATCACAAACCCATATAGCATTAGAAACCGACCCAGTCAACAACGGAATCATACAAACAACAACATGAAAGCTCAAAGTAACTAAAAATATCACAACTAAGTATTTTTGAAATATTCAATCATTCTAACTAACCGTAGCCTCCTCAACAAAAAGTTATGTGCAAAGACTGTGAATTACAGAAGAGTAAGTGGAATATGCAATGGAAGTATAGCTCTAATTGTTTATCAGTCGTAATATGAAGTGTGTTTTGAGGGAGAAAATATGTTGTTTGCTATCCAGTAGCCAATCAGTGTATCGAAACCAGTCATGTAGGAGGTCATTCACCAGCTAAATAGCTCAGTGGCAACAACGCCAACCAAAGCCATGAGTGACGCTGGCTCGAATCTCAGAGGCGACTCATCTTGCTGACGAACGCCAACATGCACGAAATCTAGGTTGGGGAAAGCCTTCAGTCTATCACCATCAACCAACTAATATATCTTTATATGCACATGAAGACCAAATACGTGATTTCGATACTTGTCTCTCACTTATCTAGAATCCTCTAGTTGAAGAAAGTATGTATGAAAATATGGCATTACTCAGTCCATCAATGGCTTTCGGTTGGTCTAGATGGAATAGTGAATGTGATGATAGTAATACAATCGTGGTAACAGCTGTTGAACATGTGGACTGTGAAGACTCGGTGGATGAGGTAATAATTTTGCATAATGCTTGGTATTCTTTATATCGGATTATCACATATTTATTGTGAGTTTACCAATTTTATTGTCTTTAAATAGATTCGTAGTTCTTCTTTATCATTTCTTGTGGTTAGCATTTATCCACTGAATACTGTTGGTTAGAAAATGGACAAAATCAAATGGAACTGTTTCGAAAATTGCTAGTTCCTATTACTTTTGCCACATTCTCAGATTGGATCGTTCTATGTCGAGGTTTCGACTTCAGTATTGGTGTCATTTCCAATGCTAGAGTGGTCCATCATAAAACCTTGCACAGTGAAACTGGAGATCAGAGTACAATGAAACCTTTTAAAATATCCACAATATCACCTGAAAATAATTCATCATGCATACATGCAGATAAAAAATAAATCACAGTTAATCCAACATCTGTCGAAATTAAACATCACATTTTGTTGACTTCAGGATCGAAATTTGATCTGTTGATTCTATTGTTCCAATTGGACAAAATGACTTAGTTTACCTAACAATTGTGAGGTCGACTACACAAGTCAAAGTAGTCGATTAGGGTAAATTAGGCTGGCTATCGGAACACAAAACACGAAATCAGGTCAGAATTGGTAGATTGTGGAAATGCAAGGAATTTAGAGAAACGCAATGCATGCGATTACATACAACCACAGAATCAGATGGGACGAGGTAAAAATCCCTAAAACTAACAAACGGAGTGGAGGCAGAGATTGGTAACTGAATTTTCGTTCAGGGTTAGTATTCATTACGAAGTGACATCAATTGGGGAACCGTTGAGAATCTGAGAGTACTGTGTAGCTGTTTCGTCCGAGTATGGGACACTCCAGCAGTACGCACCCACGACCAGGCTACGAATCGAACTGAGAACCTTCGAGTTTCACGGTGAATGTGTTAACCATTCAGACACTGGGTCGAATTTGCGTGGTTGACAGTTTCCACGTTCCGTCAGTTCATGATATAACGTGACTATCACACACGGTCTTCAGCGGTCATACACTTCCCTTCCGACCTTGAGTGATTTGGGATTTATGGAAAATCTTGCTATGACTATGGACAATAAATGATATCTGAAACGTGATCCAGTAAACAATACTCTTCATTCACTGTGGTGAATTCAACAAATGGAATTACATTCTACCACAGTGTACAAGTTTCACTCATGTAAACAAGTAAACAATTGACTGAATGGTGTATGAAAGAGATAAATCTGTATAATACCAATTAAGTTAAAATATCAACATCTGACATTTCACGGAAACCACGTCTCCAGAGAACGAGAGGTGTACAGATTATCAAACTATTGATACTGGTTACCACTGGAATCTGGAACGTGCGTTTCACCCTATTTCACACTGGTCAGTTGAAGTGTCAAACGTTTCTGTATGTATATGCAAAGTGATTTGATTTGTGTGCATTAACCCGGTTGGGTTGTATACTCTGAAGTGGTAGATTCCATAAAAACATGGAAAGGTGAAAGTTTATTGTTATGTCCCCTTAGGATTTTAGGAATGAATATATGTCATACCCCTTTCAGTCAGTCTATTAGAAATGTGACACACATGCACACAGTGAAGGGACGATATCATTTACTGCATAACGTCATTTCAGACACAATTCATTGTCCATATTCACATCTGGTAATTGACCCCACAACTTTGACACAGACTTCATATAATCCCAATCCTCTCTCCTCCTCTGTGATGATGAGGCTAGTCGAATTTTCTATGTATAAATTCAGTAGTGAATGCAATCCAATTCACCTGTGACTTAGAAAGTGAAGAAGGTGAGTTCGCAATGTTGCGTCTCCAGATCACAGGAACACAATGTGGAAGTTAGGAGACTAGCGTGTATAGGAAACCTTCTCATTTAAATTGCTACGTAGATTTCAAATCCTCCCACCCCACTTCAGTCAAAGTAGGCTTAGTTAAATGTCTAAGTGATAGGGTCGAAGAGATTACAAGTAGACCGGAAAATCGATGACAAGAAATTAGGCACATGAAGAATACCCCATGTCTCAATAATCAATCACCCAGCTAAATTTGTCGATAAATTCATAAGAAATCGAAAGGAAAAATATGAGCAGTGGTAGTAGTAGTAGTAGCAGTAATGCAAGTGTTATTAATAATGATTCTACTAATGATGGTGACAGGGTTGAGAGAGAATTCGAAGTCTGTGGAGTGTTAGCATAGAAGGCAGGCATCTGAGAAGCATTAGGAAGAATTGTGAATGAGGTTGGTTGGTATCAGGATGTCATTCAAGCCAAGAAACTCACTTGGAAACAAGTTTTGTGAGTTGAGAGATCTTATGTATGGAATTGATGAAAATCATCTGGTTTGTGGAATCGCTTTCAGTGATTGTGATGTTGAATGCATGGATGGGAGTAGTTGATGAGGTTTGATGAGATTGACAGAGCACAAAACCTAACTGGGTCAATATTGGTACATCCTATTAAGGTATGTAGAAAGGAGCTCGACCACAACTGTCCACGCAGCTACTCACAATCACGTAGTAGGGTTGGATAGATCAACAACACTAAATACTAACTTATAAACATCCAGTCGACAGTTGTTAGGAATGTTTTGAACTTTAGTTGAGTGCTGAGTGGGGTTTATTCATCATATTGGTAAGTTTTAATGTAGTGTAGTCCCAGTGTGTTTAGAAAATCGGAAACAAGATTTTTCTGCAGATTTCACTGTGTTTGCAACAGCTTCTTCAGTAGAATATTCGAATTTCTCTTTATCATCAGGAAATATTCGAATATGCATCGAAGTATATATCTTGATATTGAACACGAATCTGAATATTCTACTGAACAAGCTGTTGCAAACACAGTGAAACGTTGGGAAATGTCTTGTTTTTGATTTTCTAAACACATTGGGATTACATTGAAACTTAAGTATGTGGGAAGTAAGTTGAGCGGATGGAGGGAGTGATCGCTAACCGAATCTATGTTGATCAAATCAACACCAAATACGTGCTCCTGTTCGAGATATATGGAAAATTCTACTATCGTTGTTATCTCAACGATGGAGAGATGGTCAGGGCTATATGAATTCTGTTTCAAAGTTTAAAGATGGACAAGCAAACACAGTAATTAACAAGATAAGAATATTCACTTCATCTACAACTTTCTTCAAAATGTACAATTAATCTGGCTATGCAATTACATTAACAATTAGTTTCACAATACATGAATAGTAAGGCGCTCATAATCATCAAGTAGTTTGCTTCCTAAAACAGAAGTTGATTAGTTAGTTCATTTTTAGCACAACCTTCATCGCATATTAGGCGAGCTAAATACGATGTTGTTGAAATTTTATATTTTATAGTACATGCATAATGTTTTACATATTTTCTCCTGGTCTTCTCTGATGACGAACAATCAGAGTGCTTTGAGTGAAGAGGATACTGGTCATCTGATAAAATAACTCCCTCAAGATGTTCACATGAATTAATATATTTCTCCACAACTTTTTTAATAAGAAGGTTTAGAAGTTCTCGACTAGTCTTGCTGATAGTCTTCAAAGTTCTGCACAGTATAGCATAGTCTTTTTTCAGCAACTCAGGAAATAATAAAAGAGAACAATAGAGACGAACAGAAAAGATAAAGGAGTTTATGGAACATAAGAGAAGAGATTGAGTTATACCAGATATTCTCAGCTTCCTAGTATACAATGTTAGGTAGAAAAATCTTTTAAAAATTAATAATATATGGGAGAACCAAGAAAGATTCGAACAAAAAAAACATGTCAAGATAAATCACACTTTTATGAAGAGAACAGGAATCATGAGAACTAAACAGTTTATATTGGTTTATACACGTTGACTTTTAATGCTGTTTACAAAAATGTCATGAAATTGTTCACCCCTTTCTAACATGCTTACCATGTTTACACCAGACTAAATTTCTAATAAGGAAAAATGAATGTAACAGTATCCATTACACTAGTCAATTCTTAATGAAATATATTTTTTAATAAACAGCCCACTTGTTATTATTTTCTTAAAGTGAATATCAAATATCGTAAAAAAAAAAATAGCATATTATTAAATTATGTCGGTATCATTACAAAAGGTAGTGTTGAAATACCATTGTCGAAAGTAACGGGAAATAAAGGAAAGATAGGCAAAGAAATTATATTACTGAATAGTTTTACAAAAATAAGACGTACTACATAAATTTATACATACTTCATATTGTTTTACGACCACTTTCATTACTGTGTGAATGTATGTGAAGTGTATGTACATATGTTGTAAGACAGAAATCAAAAAATCAACATAGTTTATAGAAGAAATTCGTAATTAGCAACAAAGTATTATTAATGAATAGATGATATGAAGCGAAATCTAGAATGTACACTTCCCTCTTATATGTGAGACATGTTACTTGGATGTAACATTGTCTGTCAGCGAGTATTTTTATCATAATATTTTGATATCAAATTTTATTCCGACTAATTACATTTTAATCCGATTTTCAGACTGACTCACACGAGTTATGCCAGTTAGTAGATAGTCTTCTTATGATTTTTTTTCCTCTGAGTCCTTAGTGGAATATACCGCTTCAGCAGCACATGCCCATCTCACTCTCCTCTCCGCAGTCTTCAAAACCTGGCTCCATGACTGTCCACAACCTTTCATTTCTTCCTAATACCATCTCCTCTATGTCATCTTCCACTAGGACGCCCAACTTGCCGTTTTCCCTTGACGTTCTACTCGATGACCTGGCCTGACGTGTGATGTCCTGAAATGGTCTTCTCACTGCATGTTCATTCAAATCCACCTACACTCTTCCCTTCTGAATATCTGTTGAGTGGTAGGTTCTTGATTGGTTAGTTGCTATCCAGCAAGCCAGCCAGATGACCAAAATCCAACCATACCACCTTAGTTAGCTTGTGTATTGTGTCAAGAAAATCTTGTTAGATATGACCTTATTGACCAACTCTACAATAGCAAACAGTTATCGTATCTCCGAGGTCACTAAGCATTTCAATAATCCCATTATTCATTACTCTTTATTACATATTGTTAAACAGAACCCTTGCAAATGTTTTAAACATGTTGTACAATGGGTAAAGTGGTGTAATATCATAGACTGAGAATTCTGTACTCTAAGCATAGTCATGATGCAGAATGGAGCAAATATATTATTATTATCATTATTACCTCTTCACTCTGTATTATGCCGTCCAAAGGAGTAAAATGGAAAGAGAAGATAAACCAAATATCAACTACACAATAAACTGCTGAAATTGTGATAAATACCACATCGGACGGCACTGTCTGCCTCTACAAATCCGTCTACATGGAAATCAACTAGAAGTAAGCAGTCATGATATGTCTTCGTGCATATCAGTCGTAGATAGAGAATGTACAAGAAACGGGGGAGAATGTGTAGACGCTTGACACATGTGTCAGTCAGCAATCAACACACATATTGATATTGACCGAATATATATGAAGTGATGAGAACCACAAGAAAAGGAATTAGGTCAAAGTTTACTCCAGCAGGAGTAAGACTACATGCACCTTCGGTGTAAACTTTTTCTTTACCAATGTACCGCCGTTAAAGAAACTTGCTGTTTCATCTGATTATATTTCTTCTAACAGTCTTATTTTCCCTATCCCATCTAACTTGTTGAACATTTATTACCATTATGTACTAAAAAAGTCCACTTCACATGTGAGGATGAATACTTCTGACAGATTGATTACGTCGTAATCGGTAGTCCAACAGGACCATTGTTAGCCGATGTATAGTATACATGTCACATGTTGAAAACATGGTTGACAGTCTCATCGGAAAGTTTTCCTTTATAAGAGATATATAGTATGGTGTAGTATAGTATAGTATGGTATAGTCATTATACGTAGAAATGCTGACTATAGGATGTGCCTGCTAGCAATGATGAACACTGTTCAAAATCACATTAGCCTTACCTGGGAACAAATGATGAACAACCAGCTACCATTCCTAGACATGGTCATTATCGAGTATGGTTCGATCAGGAGATCCATCTATAGGAAGTCTACATGAACAGGGTAATATCTCAGTTCCCATAACTACTACCTGGTCAAATAGCCACGCTGTTTAGTAAGGCGCTTATCCAACTGGATGAACCGCATCTGCACCAGTTATATGAAGGGAAATAAACTGACTTGCTGACGACAACACTGATACACAATGGCTACACGTAGAAATTTATCAACAGGTGCAAAAGTTATTAGGCATTGAAAAGTATGCAGTATTCCGTTGCTAGGAAAAATTCAGAGGTGATTCATACCGCTTTATTGATAGAAAATGGTTTAGATCAGCCATCTGTGATACATACTATGCAGTCAACATTACCACTGTAGAGAAGACAAGGTCCATCTTACAATACATGTAGGTGTTGACACGGATACATGAGGAGGAGTGATCGTGAAATGCATTTAAGGACCGTTGAGCACGTACGTGAATGGTGTCAAGAATAAATGACGTCAACAATTCCGATGAGTGTAGGTGGCAAACTTCCATCTTCGTCTGTCGCTAAACATATACTAGGAAGTGACCACATGGTGGACATGAAAACAGCTTTTAAAGTGCTACATGGAAGTGGTCAGGGTCGAGTGCTTATAATTCTTGAAGCTGTTGCAATCCATGAATTCAAACACACTGCTTTATGTATTCAAAGACAGTTTGTACTCGGAGTGAGTCTATCTTAGTGGTGTATTGATTTTGATGTTCACACCAAGCGTGATGTTATTACGATTTTGCTTTTTCTCTGCCCTTCCTATTGACTTCACTGACTCTTTTTCGTAAGTTTTCATATAAATATTTCGACGAGTCCATGTGTGTGATCACATTGTTCAAAGTATAAAGCAGTAATATATCACACATGTTTCAAATAATTTTTGTCGTCTCATTAAACTGTTTAAACTTATCAAGGGGACCATTTGTCGAAAGTATTTACAGAGAAGTATGTTCCATTTGACTATGTGAGATAGGTGTAGTTTGACAGACTAGTATTTATACTTGGTGATGGTTGAAGATGAGATGGAAATTTAGACCACGGTGGGATTTGAACCAGTGACCACTGGGTTTCCAGACCTCGTAGCTCATTTGGAAGGGCGTTGGGCCGGTGACCCGGTGGTCGCTGGTTCGAATCCGGCCGCGGCCCAAGTTTCCATTTCACCTTCAATCGCCACCCAGTATGAAGATATGTACATAAGTTAGTATATCTGGTGTTGATTTCGGTATGGTGTCTGGCCACTATGAACCGATTTAACATACAGTTTTCACTGCAAGTATCTACCGAAAAAACTATTTTCTTTGCTGATTAAGATTTTCTCCCTGAATCTTCGGATACTCATCCTCTTAGGATGCATTATATTATTATATTGTTTCCCTTGGGTTCCTGGTGGAACGTAGGGCTTCAGCAGCACGTCTCAATCGCTCTCTGTTCTCTGAAGTCGTTCCAACCTGGCTCCATTACTGCTCACAACCTTATATTACTTCCTCACACCATCTCCTCCATGTCACCCTCAACTCGGAAGCTCAACTCATCGTTTCTCATTCGGGTTCCACTTGATGGCCTGACGAGTGATTTCTCTAAACGGGCTTCTACTCACTTTACCCCTCATCCATCTCCACTCTCTTCTTCTGCACATTTGTTGGATAGTGGGTTGCTGGTTGTTGCCTTGCCAGACCACAGTTCCTTGTTGCTTAGTCTTTCTGACCATCTGATCTGATCTTCATTATCGAGTGAGTGTAGGCGGCAGCTGTCAATTATGTATGTCTGCGGTTTGCTGGAATTGCTGTTCGCGACGTGCCACCAAATCTCTCAACCATCACATAGAAGCACTGACTTACTTGACTGGGATTAGTGTTCAAAATCCGGATGTTGTTCACGCTTAGTGCTGAGTGCAGTGCAGTGGATTACACAGATTTCAGGTTAATGAATGCCTGTCTTCCTGTCTCTCCGATTCTGTATTTCACGTCGTTATCTGTGCCACCACCTGTAGTTGAGAGTACACTGCCTAGGTAGAGAGGTAGGTGAAATGGACAACTTCGTTTAGATTTCTCTCTTCTGTTGATGGTGGTTGGTGCTTGTTTTTGTTGTTGTTATTGGTTGGGTATCTTCATCACCTCTGTTTTCTCTACATTTACTTGAAGTCCCATCCTCTTTGGCTGTCCTGCCTCTTCCGTCAACTTGTTAGTTTTGACTTGTAAATCTTCGAGTTTATTCGTTGTGACGTTAGACATCAATCACCATGTGCACAATCCACATCATCTCCCGGGGTCTATTCATCGGTCCAGCCAGCATATGACATCTCGCTTCGCACAATTTTCCATTGTATGATCCATTTAAGTCCAATGCATTCGCCCTTAATCAGGATGATTTTCAGTGATAGTAGGCAACCTTGTTTTACACCTGTCTTCACTTCGCTTTATAGCTATCACTCAGCTTACCATTCTGATTCATTTGGCATCATACAGCATAGGATCTAGCTGTTGAACGACGTTGATAAAGGTTTGTGGCACTCTGTAGTGTTAAAGCAGCCACCATGTTACTGTTCCGTGCGCTTATTTGCACTTTGGCGATCCACCGTTCAAATGAACAGCAAATCTTTTATCACTATCGGCGTGCGTAAACGGACACTCCATTAATGTTACCTCAGACTGATCAGTACTACCCCAGCCATCGCAACTTCCAGGCTTCGACCCATTCATATTTGCAGGTTACTAGGATAAGTTGGCTGAAATAACCCTCTCATGGGAAGACATGCCCAGGATGCACCTCGCTGAAGTCCTACTGCTGCGAAAAAGCAATGCAAATATCATCTCCTGAAGTATCACTACCGTTTAACGCCTTCTGGGTGCTATGGTCCTGGGCAACCAGTATAGTTAGAGTTGACAAAACAGGCCTCCAGAAGAAGAAATGCCTAACCTTTCATCAATAGGAACTGCCGAAACCTGAAGCTCACTTCCCTTACCAATTAAGGCCTCACTGCTCTCAGACCTCTATGCAGAATCCTGACTTTTTAAAAGATTCATGCCACCGACCTTCTTCATATAGATCTTAATGGCTACGATTTTCGTCAAGTTAACTTGGTGATGTGTTAGTTTATCTAGCAGAGTTACGATGAGACCCACCGCTGTACAAACTAGGCTCCACCCGTAATTTTGCGTACCAGGGTCTATCCAGCTTTCACGTAACAATAACACAAATTCATTCCCACTTAGCTAAGCTTTGTAGAATTTCTTCACTTCGAAAACGTCACGCGTAACCAGGCTTCGGATTCGACTGCCTCGAGAGCACCATAGCTACTTTCGCCGTCACTAACCTTTTTATAGTACAACGTTACTTCACAGAGTGTAGCGCTATGGAACTGACGTTGGCTTGTCATGTATGATACAGTTCCCGGTCACCATAACCAATGAAGATTTACACGCAAAATAATTGCTAATTTGTTTCATTAAAGATTCTACCCATACGCTCTATGTTCCCTACTTATCGACTCTACAAAACTCTAGGAAGGCAACAGTCATCAAATTCTTAAAATTTTCTGTTATACGATATTTGATGTTGAGGGTTGATTGATAAGAAACTCTAGACCTAGGTTTCGCGGTTGGCGGTATTCATCAACATAGTGTATCAGCAACCTTCGAATAAACTTTCATCCTATAGGATGTCCAAACTTGAATTACTGAGGACTGAAGTCAAAGACCAAACTATTAACCAATTGAAGCCACAACTAACTTCGTTTGAGACCAAATTATATCAAAGAACTGATCACTTGAAGATAAGAATATCTGCACCTACTTCATTGTACAAATGAATGTGAGTTGTATAGATTGTGAAGTTAAATGAGTAAACAAGTAAATAATTACTGCTATGTATATTTATATTTATGAGAAAATCAGAAGACGAGTAGACTGAAGTAATTTTTTTACAGTCTTAAAGTATTTCAAATCAATTTTTTCAACTCTTCGTTTACCCTCTTCAGATGCGAAGTCCATATACATATGATAAAAATCTGCATGAAACTGAAAGTTGTAGAAATAATATTTGATGTATTATGTTGGCATAAATTTAAGTGGGTTGATTTAGACTGATATAGTAACTCTAAAAAAATTGATATTACCTTCCAAAATGTTACTATGCTAACCAATAAAAGAAATATTTCTATAACAATAGTTCAAAAACCATTCTTACCAATTAACAGTAATTTAGATACAGGTTGAAATGATTTAAATACTGTGCAAGTGTTTCGCTAACTTGAAACTGTTTTCATCAGATGCTCACAGATCTAGTGTACTAATGACTACTTGCATCGACCGTTAGTATATATTGTGCATTTATTCTGCTTGTCAATACAGTCCCAACCATAAAGTTGCTGTTTCATATCAGATTTGTTTATATGACTTATAATACACAATGGCGATACAGTATGATTTACTTGTTGACGTCTCAAACATAAATTATTATCACTCATAATCATATCAATGTAATCATGCAGAACTTTCTACATCTGATTTTTATAGTCCTGTCGCCTGCTATTTTTTGTTTCTATTGGTAGCAAAATTTTCCTTATCTCTGGTACAGATAGGTGTTGCATCATTTGTATTACATGTATTGGGTGTTGGTTGATTCGATGAACAAAGATTCAGTAATCAATCTCTCTCTTTCCACCTAATTATATTGGACTCCTTTCTAATAACGACAACACAACTGGAAAGGAGTTCATAGCCTCCATTATGTTACCCTATACAGAAAAAACTTCAGAAGCTCTATATAAAATCCTCAACAAAGCTAAAATTAGGAAGGTATTGAAACCTACAAACTCACTCAGAGATAAGCTTTGTCGTCTAGCTTAAGGATTTGATGAAACCAATTCCTCAAAATAACCGAATCTATCAAACTCCATGTAATGACTGTTAGTGAGGTCAAATACATAGTTCAAACTAGCCAGTCGGGTTCACTTAGGCTAGCAAAACACAGGAATTCAGCTAAATATAGAATGACACAACCGAATAAGATCAATATTGTAGAAAAAAGGACTCATCTATTACAATGCACGCATTACCATGCAACCGCACAATGCGGTGGGATAAAACCACTATACTTCAGTCCAATAAAACTCAGTGGAGAAAGAGATGGCTTACTGAATCTTTGTTCATCGAATCAACAAACACCCAACATATACGTAATAGGAATGAAGCAACACTCATGTGTACCAGAGATATGGAAAATTTTGCTACCAATAAGAACATGGAATATGAGGTGATACGACTATAAAAATCAGATGTTGATAGTGGTGCATGATTATATTGATATGATTATGAGTGATAAAAATTTATGCTTGAGACGTCATCAAGTAAAACATACTGTATCACTGTATATCAAATAAGCAAATATAATATGAAAGTAAATTAAATTCTACCACAGTGGCCAAGTTTTACCCTTATATTAAATTTTATATTTCCCTATAGATCAACAGTAAGAGACTGAATACACTGGTACTATGCTCCATTCTGTCAACTTGTTACTTTTTCGTATCTTAATGTAGTTTTTTGGATTAGGTGGTGTCTACGTATGCATAATACACCTTCTAACCAATTAAGTCAATTATGGAGAAAATTTATAGCTCAGGATGAAGATATTTTGTTATGGAATTTTTATGAATTTTGTCTTGGGGATGTTACAAGCCTGATGATTAAACTTAAATATTAAAAGTTGAAAGGACATCAAACTACCATCACTGGAGGCGAGTAACCTTATCATTTGACTTGCCTCTCAATATCCTTCAATAACTAGTTAATTAATACCAGACGGGACTTCAAGTGAATATAGAGAAGACAGAGGTGATCAAGATACTCAACCAACGCCACCAAAAACAACAACAACATCCAATCACCATCAGCGGGAGAAACTTAAAGGAAGTGACCTCTTTCACCTATCTACGCAGCATCGTTTCAAACTACAGGCGATGGAGGCACAGACGAGGACGTCAAAACCAGGATCCGAAAAGCAGCAAGAAAGGCGTTCATTAACCTGAAACCAGTGTCGAGATCTACTGCACTGCACTCAGCATAAAGCGTGAACACCAACGTCAAGTCAGTGCTCCTAAATAGTCCACAGACTTGGTGCATTACGAAAGGCATTCCCAGCAAATTACAGACATTCATCAACAACTGCCTTCACTGGCTCGTTACTGAACATCGATCAGATGTCCAGAATAATAAGAATAAGCAACAAGGAACTCACTGTGGCTGGCAACGAACCAACCAAGAACCTATCACTCAACAAATATGCAGAAGGAAGTGGAGATGGATTTGGCATGCACTAAGAAAACCAACCGGGGACACCACGCGCCAGTCCAGACAGTCAAGTGGAGGCCGAATAGGAAAGGATGAGTCGTGCGTCAGAGGTAAGGGTGACATGTAGGAGATGGTGTGAGGAAGAAATGAGAGCTTCTGGGCTTTCTTGCAGCCAGGTTCGAAAAATTGCAGAGAACAGAGTGCACTGGAGACGTGCTACTGAAGCCGGATGTTCTACTAGGAAACCGAGGGACAAGTAACAATAATCAATAACACAGTTGATATTTTAAAAGTTACGTTTGTTCTAGCCAGCATTAACTCGCAGAAAACGAAAATGTACGTTGATCATAATGACTTTAATATTTGGATGGCTAGAAAAAATTCATTTTCTCTACACAATGCATTAATACTTACAGGTTGACTTGGATTAGCCTCAGAACTGTACTCCTCATCATATTCTTTCATTTTCAATTGCAATACCTTTTTCCTTGTTATACTATAAACCTTCCATGATTCCTATAGAAGATGAAATTAGATAAAAACAAAAAAAACTGATCATGCAACATACTGTAGATCATTTTTTCTTCACCAATCATGATTGCCGATTATTATCTCGGGTACATGGAGGTTTGAATAAAATCTCCTGATGTCGTTCATATTCTATTACTAATAAAGGACTATTACCCGTGTAGAAATAATAACATTACTCTTCTCTGCTAATGATTGCTGACTATTGAACCTCATCACTCAAAAAGTGCATCTAACTGTTTTTTGTATTCATTGCAATCTTCGCTACATACTGTATGAGTGCAGTTGGTCACTTTGAATTTGCCAGCTTGTAAGAGAAACCTCAAGGGAATGCGATCACTGTACATATGAAATGTGTGTCATTTCTCTTACAATTAAGGCATTAAGCATTTCTAAATTGATTTTGTCATGGACTAACATCAGATTATGAACTAATGAAAACCAACAAGTATTAAGCTGATGAGTCCGCTCAGGCGTGGAAAGTCATGATCATGTCAAGAGCACCACCTCATAGATTTTTAAGTCTTTTGGAAAACATACCGTTTCCAAGCTGAAATAAAATGATCTATTTTCAGACATACCGTTGCCATCCTTCAGTATCATAGATCTGTTTCTGTTACATTACCCAGTCTAGTTTCTTCCACAGACTATGGTTTGCCATTAGAGCCTTGTAGTGATCTACTAACTATGAAATAGCTGCCATTCCAGTGATTGGCATGAGGGAAATCAACTGAATCGAATGGAGCTCCGATCATCCACTGACATTAGCTAGAAAATAATTTACTGCTAATAAACTATATTCTAAATCCTCCATACAAACCTCAATAATTTGCAACGTTAATCTGAATATGATTATGCAACTATATTTGTAAATTGAGCTCATTTCATATTTAAAAATAACTTAAAGTACTACCCTAGCAACAGCCAAAATGATTAATTAGGTTTCTGTATTTCAGTTGGAAAAGTAGATTTTCACAAAATAGACAAATCTGATTGGTTATTTTAGATGTTGTTAAGATGGCCCTTAGAATCAGTTAGGATATACTATCTAACTGCATTCGAAAGTTGCTTCATTTTTATCAGTTGGTTAAAACAACACAGATATCGAACATTTAAGTGACTTTCCAAGATTTAAAATATCAGATTAGTCTGTTGCTGCGGTTAGAATTACACAATCTGCCAATTTACTCGTCAGTGCAATAACTATACAAATGGTGTTGGACATTTAATTAAGGCTCCATAGAGGTCATTTATTCTTTTCATCTCCTGATGCTGAGATTATTTAGAAGGGGATGAATGACTTTGCCATGTGAGTGTCGGAAAAGAAATAAAATGGAACGCGTCTCACTTCCTTTCAAAAGGATGATTTCAAAATAAGCACAGCAGTTCTAAAGAGATTTTTAAAATGACGCAAAATAAAATACGTTAATATGGATAGGAACTTCCTGTGAATTTCGATAATCTAGAGTTAATAAGGGACATACTTCTAAAAGAGTAAAACGTGGAAACCATGATAGATTTCGATTCTACTTCAGTTTCTTTATTGGACATCTCATATTCAGTGAAGGAACAATAGCATGTACTGCAAACCGTTTTGGACACCATTTATCGTCCATATTCATATCAGGTAACTAATTCCACAAATTTGAAACAGAATTCATATAGCCCTGATCATCTCTCCATCGTTGACATAACAACGATAGTAGAATTTTCCATATATCTCGAACAGGAGCACAATCATTTCTATTATTCCATGTATTTGGTGTTGATTCGATCAACATAGATTCGGTCATCGATCACTCCCTCCATCCGCTCAACTTACTTCCCACATACTTAAGTTTCAATGTAATCCCAATGTGTTTAGAAAATCAAAAACAAGACATTTCCCAACGTTTCACTGTGTTTGCAACAGCTTGTTCAGCAGAATATTCAGATTCGTATTCAATATCAAGATATATACTTCGATGTGTATTGGAATATTTCTTGATGATAAAGAGAAATTCGAATATTCTACTGAAGAAGCTGTTGCGAACACAGTGAAATCTGCAGAAAAATCTTGTTTCCGATTTTCTAAACACACTGGGACTACACTACATTAAAACTTACCAATATGATGGATAAACCCCAATCAGCACTCAACTAAAGTTCAAAACATTCCTAAAGACTGTCGACTGGATGTTTATCAGTTAGTATTTAGTGTTGTTGATCTATCCAACCCTACTACGTGATTGTGAGTAGCTGCGTGGACAGTTGTGGTCGAGCTCCTTTCTACATACCTTAATAGGATGTACCAATATTGACCCAGTTATGTTTTGTGCTCTGTCAATCTCATCAAACCTCATCAACTACTCCCATCCATGCATTCAACATCACAATCACTGAAAGCGATTCCGAAAACCAGATGATTTTCATCAATTCCATACATAGGATCTCTTAACTCACAAAACTTGTTTCCAAGTGAGTTTCTTGGCTTGAATGACATCCTGATACCAACCAACCTCATTCACAATTCTTCCTAATGCTTCTCAGATGCCTGCCTTCTATGCTAACACTCCACAGACTTCGAATTCTCTCTCAACCCTGTCACCATCATTAGTAGAATCATTATTAATAACACTTGCATTACTACTACTACTACTACTACTACCACCACCACTGCTTATACATTTCCTTTCGATTTCTTATGAATTTATCGACAAATTTAGCTGGGTGATTATTGAGACATGGGGTATTCTTCATGTGCCTAATTTCTTGTCATCGATTTTCCGGTCTGCTAGTAAGCCCTTCGACCCTATCCCTTAGGCATTTAGCTAAGCCTACTTTGACTGAAGTGGGGTGGGAGGATTAGAAATCTACGTAGCAATTCAAATGAGAAGGTTTCCTATGCACACTAGTCTCCTAACTTCCACATTGTGTTCCTGTGATCTAGAGACGCAACATTGCGAACTCACCTTCTTCACTTTCTAAGTCACAGGTGAATTGGATCTCATTCACTACTGAATTTATACATAGAAAATCCGACTAGCCTCATCATCACAGAGGAGGAGAGAGGATTGGGATTATATGAAGTCTGTGTCAAAGTTGTGGGGTCAATTACCAGATGTGAATATGGACAATGAATTGTGTCTGAAATGACGTTATGCAGTAAATGATATCGTCCCTTCACTGTGTGCATGTGAGTCACATTTCTAATAGACTGACTGAAAGGGGTATGACATATATTCATTCCTAAAATCCTAATGGGACATAACAATAAACTTTCACCTTTCCATGTTCTTATGGAATCTGCCACTTCAGAGTATACAACCCAACCGGGTTAATGCACACAAATCAAATCACTTTGCATATACATGCAGAAACGTTTGACACTTCAACTGACCAGTGTGAAATAGGGCGAAACGCACGTTTCGGATTCCAGTGGTAACCAGTATCAATAGTTTGATAATCTGTACACCTCTTGTTCTCTGGAGACGTGGTTTCCGTGAAATGTCAGATGTTGATATTTTAACTTAATTGGTATTATACAGATTTATCTCTTTCATACACCATTCAGTCAATTGTTTACTTGTTTACATGAGTTGTTCACATGAGAAAAACTTGTACACTGTGGTAGAATGTAATTCCATTTGTTGAATTCACCACAGTGAATGAAGAGTATTGTTTACTGGATCACGTTTCAGATGTCATTTATTGTCCATAGTCATAGCAAGATTTTCCATAAATCCCAAATCACTCAAGGTCGGAAGGGAAGTGTATGACCGCTGAAGACCGTGTGTGATAGTCACATTATATCATGAACTGACAGAACGTGGAAACTGTCAACCACGCAAATTCGACCCAGTGTCTGAATGGTTAACGCATTCGCCATGAAACTCGAAGGTCCTCAGTTCGATCCGTAGCCTGATCATCGGTGAGTACTGCTGGAGTGTCCCATACTCGGACGAAACAGCCACCCAGTACTCTCAGATTCTCAACGGTTCCCCAATTGATGTCACTTCGTGATGATATTACCTCTGAACGAAAATTCAGTTACCAATCTCTGCCTCCACTCTGTTTGTTAGTTTTAAGGATTTTTACCTCGTCCCATCTGATTATGTGGTTGTATGTAATCGCATGCATTGCGTTTCTCTAAATTCCTTGCATTTCCACAATCTACCAATTCTGACCTGATTTCGTGTTTTGTGTTCCGATAGCCAGCCTAATTTACCCTAATCGACTACTTTGACTTGTGTAGTCGACCTCACAATTGTTAGGTAAACTAAGTCATTTTGTCCAATTGGAACAATAGAATCAACAGATCAAATTTCGATCCTGAAGTCAACAAAATGTGACGTTTACTTTCGACAGATGTTGGATTAACTGTGATTTATTTTTTATCTGCATGTATACATGATGAATTATTTTCAGGTGATATTGTGGATATTTTAAAAGGTTTCATTGTACTCTGATCTCCAGTTTCACTGTGCAAGGTTTTATGATGGACCACTCTAGCATTGGAAATGACACCAATACTGAAGTCGAAACCTCGACATAGAATGATCCAATCTGAGAATGTGGCAAAAGTAATAGGAACTAGCAATTTTCGAAACAGTTCCATTTGATTTTGTCCATTTTCTAACCAACAGTATTCAGTGGATAAATGCTAACCACAAGAAATGATAAAGAAGAACTACGAATCTATTTAAATACAATAAAATTGGTAAACTCACAATAAATATGTGATAATCCGATATAAAGAATACCAAGCATTATGCAAAATTATTACCTCATCCACCGAGTCTTCACAGTCCACATGTTCAACAGCTGTTACCACGATTGTATTACTATCATCACATTCACTATTCCATCTAGACCAACCGAAAGCCATTGATGGACTGAGTAATGCCATATTTTCATACATACTTTCTTCAACTAGAGGATTCTAGATAAGTGAGAGACAAGTATCGAAATCACGTATTTGGTTTTCATATACATATAAACATATATTAGTTGGCTGGTAGTGATAGACTGAAGGCTTTCCTCGACCTAGATTTCGTGAATGTTAGCGTTCGTCAGCAAGATGAATCGCCTCTGAGATTCGAGCCAGCGTCACTCATGGCTTTGGTTGGCGTTGTTGCCACTGAGCTATTTAGCTGGTGAATGACCTCCTGTATGACTGGTTTCGATACATTGATTGGCTACTGGATAGCAAACAACATGTTTTCTCCCTCAAAACACACTTCATATTACGACTGATAAACAATTAGAGCTATACTTCCATTGCATATTCCACTTACTCTTCTGTAATTCACAGTCTTTGTACATAACTTGAGGAGGCTACGGTTAGTTAAAATGATTGAATATTTCAAAAATATTTAGTCGTGATATTTTTAGTTACTTTGAGCTTTCATGTTGTTGTTTGTATGATTCCGTTGTTGATTGGGTCGGTTTCTAATGCTATATGGGTTTGTGATTGGACGCTTTGATATTGCCTGTCGTGTCTACCTATTACAGTGGTGATGGATAGTGACTGTCAGTGGAATCCTGGACGCGCGTTTCGTCATTTTTGGGACCCACGGGCTGGATGTACCTGCCTCCTACTGAGTAGCGTTTTTCTTGTCGGGATTCGGACTCGGTATCGATGGTTTCAGTCGCCAGTGTGTTACTCATTAGGCTACCGAGTAACGAGTTCTAAATAAGGCAGAACGAGTGTCCTGCATTCCACTGCTAGCGACATTTCATCATTACCATGAACTGAAACGGCAGTCAGTACTGAAACATCCATGCAGGAGCCAAGACGCCAACAGAGACCGATGAAATTCGGTTCAATCGATGATGAGATAATACACTCAACTAGATAAAAACTATGGCCGTCTCACGAGAAGTGGATATCTTGACTCTATGATCTAGTGAATAACACTAAACGAATGAAGCAGGGTTCGAGTTCCAGTGGAAACAACACCGCTCATTCGGAGGCACGTACATCCGGCTGACGAGTCCTGTACTGGATGAGACGCGCCGCAGTATTCCATTTCTGGCCACTCTGTATCATTACTACTCACAGCTCTCATCGAAAATTCTTATAATCAGACTGTAATGTCTTAAATCTGTTAATCTGAGCATTCCTCCGAATATTCCTCTTCACGGTCATCGTTTAGTCACGACTTAAATCAATAGTCAATGTATTTTCTGTTAACGATTTCGATCTTGATATTGGTCTTGAAATCCGGATGTTGTACACGCTTTATGCTGAGTGCAGTAGACCTCCATGCTGATTTCAGATTAATGAAAGCTTGTCTTGTTTTTCCGACCCTGGTTTCGACATGCTCGTCTGTGCCGCCTGAAGTTGAAACGATGCTCCTAGATAGGCGAAAGAGGCTACTTCCTCCAAATTTCCCCGTTCATGGTGATTGGATCTTGTTGATGTTAGTGGTGGCGTTGGTTGGGTATCTACATCACCTCTGTCTTCTCCATATTCACTTGAAGTCCCTCTTCGCTGCCTCCTCTGCCAACTTGTTAGTTTTCGCCTGTAGATCTTCCAGTTTGTGCGACACTAGACATAAGTTATCATCTGCGGAATCAAAATCTTCTAGGATCTTCTGACAGGTTTAGCGTATCCCCCTCTTCTCGCTCCTCACTGTTGGTTGCATGATTCAGTCGACCACAATCAGGAAGATCATGGGTGACATAGTAGACAGCCTTGTTTTAATCCTGTCTTCACTTCAAACGGAACATCACTGAGCTTCCCATTGTGAATTACTTGGCATGTCCCGTCTTCATATAGTTGTTGAATGAGGTTGATAAAGGTTTGTGGTATTCCGTAGTGTTGGAGTAGTTTCCAAATTACTTCTCGGTCGACGCTGTCTAAGGCCTCTTCATAGTGGATGAAGTTGAGGTAGAGAGTCGACTGCCATTCTATGCTCTGTTCTATGATGATGTGTAGTGCTTCGTTGCAATTTGGTCCGCATATGACTTGTCCTTCCTGAATCCAGCCAGCCAGCCTGTTCCGGTCGTAGTTTTAAACCCAGCGCATCCTTTAGTCTCTACAGGATGATATGGCATAATATTTTGCTTGGGGTGGCCAGTAGCATAATTCCTCACCAGTTTTTGTTCTTTCAAAGACTAAGGTAGCCCTTCTTTGGGAGTTTGATAAATAGCCCTTCTTCCAATTCACCAGCAGGTACCTTCCTTTCCTTCCAGACCTTCTGCAATAGTGGTGTGGGCATGTCCGCTGTTGTCTTTGCGTCTGTTTTCAGTGCTTCTGGCGGGATTCCATCTGGTCCTTCTGCTTTCCCGGATTTCAACAGTTTTATAGCATTCAGGACTTTTGCTTTTGTCGGAGGGCCTGTGTTCACTGATAGTTCTGTGGTTGTCGTTTGTATTTCTCGACAAGCTGCAGGTGGTGGTCGATTCAAGAGCTTTTTAAAGTGGTCAGCCCATTTTTCCTCTTGTTTCTTCTGTTTGGCGGTACTTAGTTTTCTTTTACTACACTTCATTGGTGGCATCTGTGTTGATCTCTGCCCTCCCAGATAATAACTTTGTTATTTGATATAATGTTGTCAGGTCTCTATCTCTCCTACCTGCAGCCTGTTCTGCTTCACTTGCCAATGTGTAGTAGAAGTGTCTTTTGTCTTTGCGCGTACTGTTATTCACTTCTCAGTCCAGTGTTTTATAAGTTGTACTCAGTTCCTCTTTTCATTGTGCATCCTTGCACTGGTTTATCTTCTGCTTCACCATCCTCCTCTCCCGTCTCTATCAGCTTCCATTTGTCCGTCGAGATCCATTCCTTGTCTCGTTTCCTCTTCCTTCCTAACATGTTTATGCAGATTTCCTTCCGCATCTCTTTCAAAGACTTCCAGTGTTCTTCCACGCTTGATCCTTCAAAGATGTTGCTCAATGCATTCCACTTTTTCTGATGGTTGACGTGAAGATTTCCCTTGTAGTTCCGTCTATCTGTTCAGTTTCCGTTCTAGGTGTTGAACTTGAACTGTGGTCTATCACCAGCTTCCTTGAAGGCTTTCAACTTGATTTTTAAAGTTCCTTGCACTAGATAGTGGCCTGAGCCTACATGTGCTTCCCTTCTTCATCTTGTGTCCAGCAGGCTGAGTCTCCACTTTCTTCACATTGACATGAAGTCGATCTGATTTTCAGTGTAGTATGTCCATCTGGTGAAGTCCATGTTGCTTTGTGAATATCCTTGTGTTTGTACACACTGCCTCCAATCACCAAATCGTTGAATACACAGAAGTCCGAAAACAATTCTCCATTCTCATTCATTTCACCTAGCGCCACTCGATCTATGATCAGTTCTCTTACTGTGTTGTTCGCTCCCAGTTAGCATTCATGTCGCCCATTAGAATTTTAATGTCGCCAACTGGAGACTTGTCTAGTACAGATTGCAGTTGTTTTCAGAATTCCTCCTTCTTCCCTTCTTCTGCATTATTTGTAGGTGTGTAGCGTAGCACTGTATGCTTGTGACTTTCTTTCCTTTTGAGTTGAATCTTGCTATCATGATCCTGGAGGAGGTGTTTGGTTCCCACTGCATGAGAGCTTTCGATACTGTTGGGGACATCATGATAGCCACTTCAAAACTCAGTGTTTCGTGGTTGTCGTCTGGGTGAGAATATCGGAGTAGATTACTGACTCTCCAGTTAGGAGTTTGGAGAGTCCACTTCCATTCCATCTGCTGATTCCTCACAGATTCCAAGCACTTCCATGCCATACCTTCTCATCTCTTTTGCAATCTGGGTATCCTTGGTAAGTTCGTACATGGTGCGCACATTCCACATCCCCTTCCTTAATTTCACTTTCATCGAGAGAAGATACATCGACCAATTGGCTTCCCGAAAGCTCTGACCAACCGGCGTCATTTTGTCCCTCGCATTCCAGAGAGGAATAATTCTGTTCTTACTTTTTACATTTTCTTTGTGGTTTGAAGTTTCTGTAGCGGTTTGATTGGTTTTACGGGGTAGGGTTGCTAGCTTTACTCCCAACCTTCCTTCTTCACCCAGGCTTAGGACCGGCTAGTAACTCACAGCCCTACCAGCGACCGTATCCACAACCTTCAAGTCTCGTGGTGAATGCGTAAGCCAATCAGTCACTTGAGTGGAGTTCAGTAGTCAATAATTTCCTACTTCTTTCAATTCAAGATATAGTGAGACCATCATTCAAAGTCATCAGTTGGTAATTTTTTGATAAAGTTCACGATTCCTCATTAAAAATTAGGGATAACCATTTCAAGTCAATAATATAGCTTAACAACCATGTCTAAGTTCATGTATCGCGGGTTACACCTCACTTTGTAAGCGCTGTAATACAAATTGGCCACTCAACATTTTGTAGATAAGTTGACAATTGAACCCATGAACTTATATGACAGTATAAATATCCCACTGCCCTGTACCTATTGTCTAATAAGATTTCCTGAGATAGAATTTGATAGGAATGACAAGTCAAGAGGTGAATAATAATGATACTGATACACGAACAAAATCAATATAGAACCTTACACATAAGTACATGAATTAAAGTTGCCATACTTCCCAGTAGAACATAAAGAACAAGTAAACATAAAATGGGTGATATCAAAGTATGCAAAGTTATGTGAGAGGATAAACAATCTGAGGCTTTAAAAGATGTCAAGGAGTGAAAGTATTATTACTCTGTTCTCTCTCGTTAATAATCGTCTAGTGACTGATTATATCACACACATACAGGTATCTTCAATTGAGTCAACTCTATATAGATCGGTTAATTAGATTATAATTTCTCTTAGCAATATAAGGATACATACCTTATTAATACACCCAATTCGGCTGGCTGAATCTTCTCTAGGAAACAAATTTACACCGGATAATTGTAAAACTGTAATTAATTCATCTGGTGTATACCATTTCCCCATAAATGTTTTAATTCATGTCTAGTATGATTTAACAGATTTGTTCCAGTTTGTTCTGTTTCATTCACTCCATCTCCTGTTGTGCTTACACTTGCTGTTCCTGTGCCACTGCCAACCCCGCCACCTCCACTAACACCAGTTGTTCCAGTTAACGGTGTATCTGCTTTTGTATACATCCCACTTTCTGTAACACTTGGAAGTATAGCAACACGATCGCCTAGAACATGTAATCGGATATCCGTGATTCCACCAGTTATTGTAAGTAGGCATTGATTGGTCTCTGGTAATTCAGACAGATATACTTCATTCGATAATCCAATTGTGGTTACTGGACCAAGAATCATAAGCTCTTTATTACTATCCAGTGAATCGTCTTTAGTTACATCTGTTTTTGTTGGCTCAGGTATACTGATGGTCTAGAAGAAAAATCAATATTAACAGTATTTTTCTCGATGGAATACCTTCACTTACAGATAAACCATTCTCCCTGATATTTTCAGAAGCCAATACAACATTTCCTTTAGGTATTTCTGTTTGAGATTTGTATACTGATGGAGTAGAATGTCCAGCTATCGTCACAACTGGAGCATTTACACGCTTAGCAGAAAGTTCCATTGTACCTGCATTTATGGAATTCTGTGCACTGGTTGCTGTACAAATCCTTATTGGTAAGGGACGCAGTTCCCAACACTAAAAGCAGATTAATAGGAATAATATTAGTAAAAATAATGTTATTATTCATTTTCTAAAGTGAAGACAGGTCATAATTAATGGTAAAGGAAGTAACTTAACCAAGTACCCAACCATAATGAATAAATGGGAAACACCAGTACTTCATGCTTCACTGAACCATGAAAATATCAGAAAATGAAGGAAGATCTACGACTATGAGTAGGCTTCTTCTCAGGTAAAATGAAATCAGGTACATACAATTCTCATTCACATAAATACCTTTTGATCGGTCAACTGGAACATCCAAACAAATTCTTCTGTAACCACACAGCAGTAGACTTCATAAACTTAATCCGAATGATTTAAAAAACTTTCATATAAGATTATCTCAGACTATCTGAGATAGCCGTGGTTTAGCATACTGGTATCGATACTAGGTGATGATTGATGGTGGGATTCGAACCAGCGACCATTAGATTTCCTGCCCGATACTTTACCAACTGAGATAAGAATAAAACTCATCCACTGTGGTAGAATGTAATTCCATATCCATATATCTGGAACATGTGCTGAGTCATTCCTCTTGTATGCATTGGGTGTTTATTTAATAAAGAAAGTTTCAGTTATCAATCTTTCCCTCTACTTTACTATGTTAATTCTCAGGGATTTTACCCCTATAACATCCTATTGTGTAGTTGTACGTAAATGTATGCATATTTATGGTCGAGCATTTTCTAAATTCTTAACCTTTCTAAAATTTACTGATTTCGACCTGACTTGGTGTGTTTTGTGTTCGGATAACCTAATTGACCTTAATCGACCATTTTGATTTACGTATTTGACCCCACAATCGTTGCAACGGATTCGGTAAACTAAGTTAGCTTGTCTAATTGGATCAATAGCATCTTTCAGGCTGAAAAGTTTATTTCGAAGTGAGTGTGTAGATTTAAATGCCACTGTAATCCCAACAAGCCTACATAGTGTTTCTCAGGTACCTACTTAGCATATTAATATTGTAGAGCTTTTGAATTCTGGCCTTATGGAAGTGCCACTATTACTACTAACACCAATAACACTACTATTAATTCCATTTTATTATGATTTGCCTATCTGAGATAGTCGTAGTTTCGCAGACCAGTGGGTCGCTGGTCTGAATCCTACAGCGGTCCAGATTTTCACATCATATTCGATCACCACTCAGTACAATACCATTTTAATCTGTTTATTAGAAACGTCACACAAAGTGAAGCAAAAGTATCATTTAATGAATAACTTCGTTTCGGACACAATTTATTGTTCATATTCATATCAGGTAACTTCAAAACTTCGAGACATAGTTTATACACTCCTAAATTTCTTTCTTCTTTGTGATGATAACGGTAGCAGAATTTTCCATATATCTACAACAGGTACACAATCATTTCTACTACTGCATGTATTTCATCTTCATTCAAGTAACATAAATTCGGTTATCTATCTCTTCCTCCATCCAATTCAACGAAGTTCGTTTTCAACAATCTGACTCTATCCAACCCCATTGTACCATTGTGTGCTATCGCGTACACATCCATACCTGAAATTTACTCAAAATCTCTTATCATATCTAGGATTTTGTGCTCTGTCAATCTCATCGAACCTCATCAACTACTCCCATCCATGCATTCAACATCACAATCACTGAAAGCGATTCCACAAACCAGATAATTTTCATCAATTCCATACATAAGATCTCTTAACTCACAAAACTTGTTTCCAAGTGAGTTTCTTGGCTTGAATACCATCCTATTACCACCCAACCTCATTCACAATTCTTCCTAATGCTTCTCAGATGCCTGCCTTCTATGCTAACACTCCACAGACTTCGAATTCTCTCTCAACCCTGTCACCATCATTAGTAGAATCATTATTAATAACACTTGCATTACTACTACTACCACTGCTAATACTCTTCCTTTCGATTTCTTATGGTTTCATCGACAAATTTAGCTGGGTGATTGATTATTGAGACATGGGGTATTCTTCATGTGCCTAATTTCTTGTCATCGAGTTTCCGGTCTACTAGTAAGCTCTTCGACCCTATCCCTTAGACATTTAACTAAGCCTACTTTGACTGAAATGGGGTTGGAGGCTTTGAAGTCTGACTAGAGATTCGAGTAAAGCGTGAACAACATCTACATTTTCAACACCAGTCGCAGTCAAGTAAGTCAGTGCTTCCATGTGATGGTTGCGAAACTTGATGGTGCATTGCGAAAGCATTTCTAACAAACTGCAAACGTACATCACATCAACAGATGCCGCCTACGCTCACTCGATACTGAACATCGATCAGATGGCCAGAATAATAATAATAAACAACAAAGAACCGTGCCGACCAACCAACCAACCAACAACCTACCACCCAACAAATATGCATAAGAAGAAAATGGAGATGGATCAGATTGAACATAGACTGAGAAGACCGTTTCCGACATCATGCGTCAGGCAGGCCAGGCCACGTCATCGAGTGGAAACCAAAGGGGGAACGACGAGTTAGGCATCCGAGTCGAGGGTGACATGGAGGAGATGGTGTGAGGAAGAAATGAAAGGCTGTGGGCAGTCATGGAGCCGGGTTTTGAAGACTTCAGAAAAGAGAGTGAGATGGGGACGTGCTACTGAAGCGGTATGTTCCACTAGGAACCCAAACGACAAATAATAATGTATATACCTATTCCTAAAGTTATTCACCACGAAATTCTGGCTATTGATATACTGACAAAATTAGTTGTAAAACTAACTGTAGAACGTGATGAGAAGTTATTGAAAAGCATATTCCTCGTTCACATTTGACTTTTAATATGTAAAATGGGAACTTCTAATTGTCTGAAATCTAATGTTTGCTGTATATATTTAGTTAGTAAGTGCTGAATAAGTCAGCGTCTAGAACCTAACCCTATAGTCAAACGATAATTTACATTTCTTTGTAATAAAATATTCTTAATGAGACTGTATTTTTTTTAAATCTACATTGAACACAGTTGACGAACTCTAAAGTAACGCTGAACAAATGTACAATACCCTTCACCTATGCAATATTCTTCTATCCGGCATTAATCTCTGATAGGAACTGTCTTGTTTTTTATGTCTTTTCATGTCGAAAAGAAAAGCTTAAATTATCTTGTTATGCCTTATTGACTTACCTGAAATGGCATATTAATATGATAGTCTTGAAATACTGCAATTGTACCAAATACACTTGTACGAAATACAATAATATTATCATTCTCTTTAAATTCTATCAATTGAATACCACTTGTACGCCATTGTGCTTTCTCTTGATCCCATCTAGCCAATACAGGATCTTCTGCTATGACTAAACACTTTGGTAACCTAAAGAAAGCAGAAAATTAATATAAGGAGAAAACTGGTTGAAATGTTATCCAGTAAATTATACCTTGACAGTGTATGCTATATCGAATAAGCGATCTTATATAAGACCAGAAAATTGCATGCATATATCTTTGAGCTCTCTGTAATTCGTTTTTACATGTTTCATTGCCAGTTCAAGTGACTTCATCAGTATTTGCTCACTTTATGAAGTAATAGCTGATGATGTCGCTCAGTTTGATGACGAAACATCCTGAAACGAATTCTATAGCTGGGAGAACATCAAACAATATCTTTATATACATATATTGAGGCAGTATTTATCACGGATAGATAACAGTTGAAGAAGCATTAAAAAACCTGCGACAACCGGAGAGCTGTTTTATCCTGATCAACTCGCCACCTCTAACTAACAAGGGAAATTTTCAAACTATTATAGCCAGTTTACACTGTACTTGAATTTGTGCAGGTGTGGAGCTAGTAGGCGTACAAGCTTGATAAGCAACCAAACAGTCTGACGCTTAAACCCCACTTAGTGCACACTTCGATCTGGACAAACACAGTAATGTTATAAACATCCGATCCACACAAGAAGTGTGTTTTCATAGCTTAACATATAAAACTGCACCGGTTCGAGGTGCGTTCTTATTTCATTTAACACTTGAAAAACTTTAAGATTCGACAGCACAGTAGTCTACAGCAGACTGATCAGTTTTGTTCATTGATACCAGATCTTAAATCTGTATTTCAGTGATCTTCAATTACACATTTCAGAAATTCTTGTCTGACCATTCAACTTAGTAATAACGAGATCGAAGAAACCAGATCACAATCAGATTGGACCAATCAATAGTTGTTACAAAAAGCTAAAATTTAATTTCAATATTGTTTGTTATACTCAATAAGTTGAATTTCACAATCATGGATGGTGGCTAGCAGTGGAGTCTAGAATGCATGTTTCGTCTTGCTGAGGACTTGTCAACCGAACTTACCTGCTTCCCAGTAAATGATGTTGTTCCTAGTTCCGAATCTTAGTGGAAACAGTGTACAAGACATATGCTCAGACTAGACTAAGTAAACAATTTTACAGCTAAGAGTTTATTGGCTCAAATACCAACCAGTCTTCCACATGAACTTATCCATGGTTTATAAGAGAACCCTACTGATACATTAAAATTAACCAAAGGGGACGTCAAGGACAAATTGTGGTTTCTGGCCACATTCACTTGTGTCTGTCAGTTTACCTGATCTTATAGAGCTGGTTATATAAGCTGCAAGAAGCACAATCTTTCCAAACATATCTCCGAGCACTGTCCGTCCTAAATGTTTAAAGGGGAAAATAGACCAAGCAACATTTCCATGAAGGATTATTTAGTCAACTTTGGTCATGTTGCTTCTTCACAGTCTTCTTTCAAAAATGAACCTTTCATATGAAGTGCAGATGCATCACTTAGTACAGGCATCGATGATCCAAATATTGAAACCTGAGCTCCAAGTACAGAAGAGGAAAATCTATGGTCTCATTTTCCCATGGTGAAAATATTTCTGTGATTCTTTCCATTGCTTCAGTATTCACCTTACTCATATTGACTGATTACTGATACTGTTTTACGTCTCTATGTGCTAGTTCCGATTAGGATCCGCATAATATTTTACTTCAATTATTGATTAAAATTATTATTACTATCATACTGGGTGATGATTGAGGGTGAAATGAGAATTTGAACCGCAGGGGATTCGAGCCAGCCGCCACAAGGTTTCCGGCCCAGTGCCCTACCAACTAAGCTACGAGGCCCGGACTAAGATATCTTATACTTTGAAGTAATCTTATGTTGTCCTTTGAATGAAAATCGGTATGCTTCTTAAAAATGAATATCAAGACCGTATTTTCATTTTGCGATTTCTCTGCTACTGTGTTGTTCAAACGAATTTTTATTTAGATGAGGTAAACATAAATATATTATGTTCTATATACTGATAAACTATTTGATTATTTATACTTGGTGATGATTGAAGGTGAGATGAAAATTTGAACCACTGCCGGATTCGAACCAGTAACCATTGGGTTTCCAAACGTATCCGGAAAAAGGATACCCAAAAGGTTCAAATTTTCATCTCATCTTCAATCATTACCAAGTATAAATACTAGTCTGCTAAACTGAGGATATAGTCAAATGATATTTGATCACTGTCAATCTCTTCCGATTTCATTACATATCATTGTATCATTATAGAATATGACACATTTAACTTTCAGTCGAATTCTTACCGAATTTTAACTTGAACTGGTGGTTTCCTATCCTTTTCTTGCTTTCGAGACATTTCACCGATAGCTGATTCAGCTTCTGTTTCTGTTAGATGATAATTTTTTTGACAAAAATACCACGTTTTTGAGAACATTTTATTATAATATGAATGTTTTATTCTTAATCAATAATGCATTATCATTGGAAACAAACTTCTAAGGTACTTTGAATATTCAAGAATAGTTATGAAACATCATCTTGTGATCATAAAATTGTTTATCTCTTGTTAAAGTTGATTCTACTTCTAAAATTCTACTGATTTATAAAGTTGCTTGCCTATTTTCTCACTCAAGAGTGAATAGATATTCATTTCAAGTCGTCATCATCAATTGTACTTGCACTGGCTGGTTAGTAAAGAGTATACACTTTCATACTGTCTAGTTATATTGGTCAATTTTTTAAGACAGCCAAAAACCGAAGTCTAACGTCAATGATACCTACTCTCTTTGATGTCAAGTGGTTAGAGCCATTCAAGGAACTAAAATCGATAGAAACTTAGGAGTAAACATCGTTATCTTTAGAATACTACAAATATATTTTTCTGATAAGTATCGGAGGACACAAAACTTCTGTCAAGTAGGTATGCCCGTCAGTTGTCCTTAACAAAACAGCTTACAAATACACATGTAGTCATTAAATCAGGTACATTTAGAGAATAGTGAGATGTCAATGACTACCTCTTTAAAAGGTTTCACAACATTCTTATTCTCAAAGGTTACCAAAAGTTCAAAAGGATACCTATGAATATTATCAACTTCTGAAATTACAATTATGAAGGAGAATTGGAGTCCAACCTTTGTTTTAATAAGCAATTGCCGAAAAACAATTCTCTCCAATCCGTTCTTAGCATATAAGAAGAGATGCTGACTGATTGAACTGTACTCTTCTAAAAATACTTCATGTTGATAACACTTCAGCCTTATTCTCCTTGTCAAGTGCATTGCTTTAAACTTAGTTCTCCGTCAAATTTTTGATACACCAACATTCAACATTTTAGTGATATCTACTTAATTTCAAGATGTAAACTAATTTGAAATCGAACAGCTCGACCTCTGTCGGTAGATGAACTTCTTTGTGGATATCTTGACGCTGCTTGAATATTCATTGTTTCTGTTCTTACTCGGTAGGCAGCGGTGAAGTCCTAAACACTCGTTTCGTCTTATTTAGGAGTCATCAGACCCATATACCGGCCTCTGTGATCTAGTAGATGGCATGTTGGCGTTTAAAGAGATGGTTTCTGAGTTCAAGTCTCCATGAGAACATTATCCCTTTGGAATGTCGATATGCGCAGCTGATGAGTCTCAAACAGGAAGGAAAGCGTGTCTTGGATACTAGCAGTAGCTACTAAGTAACTTCCTTTAAAATCAATCAAGCTTTAACAATTGTAAAGTAAACCACTAACCAATCCTCATAAGTCATTAGCTTCTAGACGGTTCTCCTAGATTTCTAAACAGAAACAAGTTGGTCTTTAAAGAAAATTACTCCCTAATAGTAGTGGATGATATCTGCTGTATAATGCAAATTCACAGAAGTAGGAAAATGTGAAGCATTTGATTACAATCCACTGGTCGTGTAATAATATCTATCTGCGAAACACGAAGATGCTGAGTTAAATCTCCTCACAGGACTTTGGGTGAGTACAATTAAGCAGTCTCAAAATAATATAAGAAATCCGCCAAATCCTTCAAATACTCAATGATTCTTCAAATAATATCAATCCGTAGTGAAAACTATTCTTAAATTGGACAACACCCACAAAACTACCAGTTGTGAAAGTCAGAAATCGATACCATGTGGAGTTGTCTACAAACAACCTCCATTTATGGAACATCGAATACAGTGTAGTGCTTAGGGTGTTATAGCCCATAATTTCGCGTCGTCGATTGAATCGAATTCATCGACCTCTCGTATGTGCGTGTGTCGATGTTGCCGGTATTTTCACTTTCATAATAATGATGAATCGTGGCTAGTGGATAACCCTCTGATGACATTTGAAGCTATTGGTTTTTGGTCCGAGTCTCAGTGAGAAAAACATCATTCACTAGAAAGTAGATAGTTCCAGCTAACAAGTCCCGAATAGGAAGAAATGTGCATCCTGTATTCCACTAATAACCGCTATCCATCATCAAACTCGTACTATACTGATATATCAAGTTATTTCAGCTTCACCACATACTTGATTGACCTCACATGTCATGGCTTCTCATCATACCACCCTTGGGATATCCATCTCCAAGCATGTCATCAACCAGTATAAGACAATATAGTTTCAGGCTTATGGGGATTTTATTTATTTCAGCACAAAATGATATCAAGGGTTGAAACACATAAAAGAAACACTACTAATTAATAAGTATTCCCTGGATTTTATAGAAAAATTCGTAAGAGTACAAAAAGGAAGCCATAACAGTAATATGAATATGAATGGTAAAGACAAGACAAGTAGAAAGGATTTCAAGGCATCTATTGTGCTACCACATAAGGAAGGAACATCAGAAGCTTTACGTAGGATTCTTAATTAGATTAGAATTCGGATGACATTCTGAAACCCAGTCCGAAACAAATTCCAGAATACATCATACCAACAGCTGCCGCCTACGCTCACTCGATACTGAACATCGATCAGATAGCCAGAATAATAATAATAAACAACAAGGAACCATGCCGACCAACCAACCAACCAACAACCTATCACCCAACAAATATGCAGAAGAAAAGAGTGGAGACGGATTGGATTACACATACACTGAACAGACCATTTAGGAACATCACGCATCAGGCGAGGCCACGTCATCGAGTGGAAACCATAGGGGAAACGACGAGTTGAGCGTCTGATCTGAGGGTGACATGGAGGAGATGGTGTGAGGAAGAAATGAAAGGTTGTGGGCAGTCATGGAGCCGGTTTGAAAAGACTGCAGAGAAGAAAGTGAAATGATGACGTGCTACTGAAGCGTTATGTTCCACTAGCAACCCAAACGACAATTAATATTTTAAAATATCTGAAACACACAAACTCACTCACTTTGTCAACTTAAGAATCTGATAGATCCAATTAAGCAAGATAATCTAATCTATAAAATTAACTGTGAGGTCAAATACATAGTTCAAACTAGCCAGTCGGGTCCACTTGGGCTAGCAAAACACAGGAATTCAGCTAAATATAGAATGACACAACCGAATTAGATCAATATTGTAGGAAAAAGGACTCATCTATTACAATGCACGCATTACCATGCAGCCTCATAATGCGGTGGGATAAAACCACTATACTTCAGTCAAATAAAACTGAGTGGAGAAAGAGATCGCTTACTGAATCTTTGTTCATCGAATCAACAAACACCTAACACATACGTAATAGGAATGACGCAACACCCATGTGTACCAGAGATATGGAAAAATTTGCTACTAATAAGAACATGGAATATGAGGTGATACGACTATAAAAATCAGATGTTGATAGTGGTGCATGATTACATTGATATGATTATGCGCGATGATAACTGATGCTCAAAACGTCATCCATTAAATAATACGGCGTATCAAATAAACAAATCTGATGAGAAATTAATGAAAATAGCTGGCGGCCTGTTTGAATCTTGGGCTAAGAATATTTTCCACTGAAAGTAAACACCGTACCCTTTGCCTTCAATTTGTTTTAATCATTTAATTCTACCTTCTAAGTATGCCATCTAATCTAGCACAGTTTTAAAAATATTTTCAGCTAGCTATTTCTCGAGTAAAGAAGAAAAAACTGTCAAGTTCACTGGAAATGAACTTTATGTTGTGTAAAAAAATCATCATATTACTACTTCTTCAACATTTAGCTTGAATGACAGATTTCTGTATTGGCTGAATAAACTGTCACCATCAAACTTACGTTCAATTTTCTGTACATCCTCTATTCTATATTGGAAGGTAATTCAACACTAGCCAACCGTTCAACATTATTGTATTTATTAGTACTATTATTACCATCACTTGAATGCAGCAACATTTGGATTGAATATATTGTTCTAGTAATGAACTTGCTGAGAATTCAATACTGTATAAAACATATTATTACTCCTATTATTATTATTATTCTTACTATTACCGTTATTATTATTATTATTACAATTATTAGCTCTACAGTGAACGGATTGGTGTCGCCTAGTTGGTCACACAGTCTAAATGACACTAGTCAATAGGATAAAAATATCGGAATGATATGTGTAACTTTTACAATATCACATAAACAGACCTGGATATAATCTGCAAATTGCATTTCACTTCTATCTTACCGTAATCCCTATGAGATTCGTTATGCCATACTTGATGGTAGATATTATTCTAACTCATAATTTCCTTCCATTTTAGTCTGCTTATTAGAAACGTCACACAAAGTGAAGCTAAAGTATCATTTAATGGATAATGTACGTTTTAGACACATTATATTGTCCATATTCATATCAGGTAACTAATTCCACAACTTTGACACAGAGTTCACATAGTCCCGATTTCTTCTCCTCCTCTGTGATGATAACGGTAAGAAAATTTTCCATATATCTACAACAGGTACACAATCATTTCTACTACTGCATGTATTTCATCTTGATTCAATTAACAGAAATTCGGTTATCTATATCCACCTCCATCCAATTCAACGAAGTTCGTTTTCAACAATCTGACTCTATCCCATCCCATTGTACCATTGTGTGCTATCGCGTACACATCCATACCTGAAATTTACTCAAAATCTCTTATCATATCTAGGATTTTGTGCTCTGTCAATCTCATCGAACCTCATCAACTACTCCCATCCATGCATTCAACATCACAATCACTGAAAGCGATTCCACAAACCAAATGATTTTCATCAATTCCATACATAGGATCTCTTAACTCACAAAACTTGTTTCCAAGTGAGTTTCTTGGCTTGAATGACATCCTGATACCAACCAACCTCATTCACAATTCTTCCTAATGCTTCTCAGATGCCTGCCTTCTATGCTAACACTCCACAGACTTCGAATTCTCTCTCAACCCTGTCACCATCATTAGTAGAA